TGATTAATGTATTGTAGGTAGTTCTTGTAACACGGGTTGCATGTATTATATGATTAATGTATTGTAGGTAGTTCTTGTAACACGGGTTGCATGTATTATGCGATTATGAATTGTAGTTGGTTCTTGTAACACGGGTTGCATGTATTATATGATTAATGTATTGTAGTTAGTTCTTGTAACACGGGTTGCATGTATTATATGATTAATGTATTGTAGTTGGTTCTTGTAACACGGTTTGCATGTATTATATTATTATTAGTCGAGATATTGAATAGTTTCTATGCTGCAGGTTAAGTTGACAGGATTGGAAATCCTGGACCTAGACATTGTGAGATAGTCATTCACATGATCTGAGAAGTGTTAATTATAATTTACATTTCCATAACACTAAGAATTTCATAATATAGAATTGCTATAAGTATGAACATATGATGTATGTTTGACATAAGCACAGATGAACTTGTAGAAAAAGGAAACCAGTATATTAGTGTTCAGTGCAAGAAATACACTTACCTGAAATAGTTTGCTACTCATACTGAGTAGTGTATTAACACCTGAAATAATTCATTGCTCAAACTGAGTAGTGTATTAACACCTGAAATAGTTCATTACTAATACTGAGTAGTGTATTAACACCTGAAATAATTCATTGCTCAAACTGAGTAGTGTATCAACACCTGAAATAGTTCATTACTCAAACTGAGTAGTATATTAACACCTGAAATAGTTCATTACTAATATTGAGTTGTGTATTAACATACTAAGTAGTGCATTAATAGCTTTTTGCTTGCTCATTTATTTACGTGTTACATATTTTACATACTGATATGTTTGAAAGATTAAGTTATTTTAATTACTAAATTGCTGTATTGAAACTTTTAGTGTATCAAATTTTTTACAGAGTATCTGTAAACTTGATTTATAAAATGTTTGATTAAAGGCTCATCATTTACAGGTTGTAAGTATTGCATCCATTAGAAAGGGCCAAAGTGTAGTTCTGAGAGTGTGGAATGGAACAAAACCTTCCAAGTAAGTTTCTTGTTAATGCTTTGTTCGTACATCATGTAGTATGTGGTGACATTAATCTTCACTATTTGGCTGACCAGGTAACAGACAGATACTGTGCTCCTATTTCACATTTTATTATATAATTTTTTGTTTTGCATGAATGTATGAAAGAATAATAGTAACATATTATGAAATCCAACTAGAAAGTCCGTGTTTTGTGGAACCTTCTTGTTCTAGTTTGAGAAAATAATGAGACTGTACAACATTTGAACCAAAGAAATTCTAAAATCACATTTACTTAAAATTTTGTAAGATTAAAAACTTTGATTTTTCTAAATGTGTCAGATAATTATATATACTTTTTTAATAGGTTTTTTTTTCTTTAATTGAGTGTATTTTTCATTTCGTTAGATTTTATTTCAGATGTTGTTTTCTGTTGGGCTTAATTTTATCAGACTTGTGTTTATAACCATTTGGGTTTTTAATTATCAATTTGTAAAGTTCAGATGGAAAGAAGTAATAATTATTTCAGTCCTTGGTAGTTCTTCACAAATGTACATTTTTTACTAGTGATGTTACATCTGTATCTACTTTCCATTTGTGTATGTTTCCCACTGATGAGTTCCACATATTCTAATACGTAAATACAAACTAATCACATAATTGCAAACTGACTGCATTATATTTCTTTATTAGTATAGCACGTTTCATAGTGACACAACATTAGGACAAGTCACCGTGTTAGTGAGCAAGACTAGGTACAAACAGGTGCTTGAGTCATGTAAACTTTTATTAGTTGAGAGTGCACGCTTCTCGTTATGCATGCGTGTCACGTGCCCGAGTAATTGGCTTGAGAAATCTTTCATGATTTGTATGTATGTGTGTGAGTATAGCTGAATTAAACATACATACTCTGTTTGGAGTTATTGATGTTTTTTGTAATGAATGCTGTGAAGGGTTCTGTGACAAAAATCTGGTATAGAAGAAGCCACAATTATTGGTTTAGTAGCTGGCATACCCATCAAAAAATCACATGTTGGAATTTTGTATAAGTATCCTGGGAGTCCTTGCTCTTCCTTCAGCAAGCTTTATTAGGAATTGTAGGCCTCTTTGTAGCCTAATTCAAGCATTAGGCCTACTACATAAATGTAACACATGGCTTAGCTAAAACACTACTTTATTAAAATCCTTGGTAATTTTTACCTTCCATTTGTCTATAACTCAAGGTCAAAAAAGTCTTAGAAGTCTTTATCAAACAACTGCAAAAATATAAACAATAAAATGTTATTTAACTTTATCAAAATGTGATAAGAGACCCTTAGGTAATATTTTTTTGTAATTAAGCCTAAAGTAAAGACGTAGTGTGAAATAACATATCCTAGGCCCAAGTATATGAAATTTCTCATAAAATAAGATATATAAATTCAGTTCTAAATCTGAATCATTTCTGAATTAAATTATTTTGCAATTATATCACTAAAGTTATCGAAAAATAAAAACAAACCTTTTTAACAAATCAATACCTATATTGCACATTCAATATAGATACCATTGTTGGCCTAACAACAATATCAGGTGATAGTTTTGTTGTTAAGCGATGATGTATATTGTTGAGTATTACCAAAAAAAAATGTAACCTAAGAACAGAAACTGGCTTTTATATATTAGATGCATACACATGACGTGAAAACTATCAAGCATTTTGTACATGACAGTAACTGGTGTATTAGGATCATTTGACATAAATATGATACATTTCTTGTTAGAACCACACCAGATTTGTAAGGAGTTAATACCTTTATATACCATGCTTGTTAGAACCACACCAAATTTGTAAGGAGTTGATACCTTTTTACACTGTACTTGTTAGAACCACACCAAATTTGTAAGGAGTTGATACCTTTTTACACCATACTTGATAGAACCACACCAAATTTGTAAGGAGTTGATACCTTGGAACACCATACTTGTTAGAACCACACCAAATTTGTAAGGAGTTGATACCTTTTTACACCGTACTTGGTATCAACTCCTTACAAATCTGGTGTGGTTCTAATAAGTACGGCATACAAAGGTATCAACTCCTTACAAATTTGGTGTGGTTCTAACAAGTACGGTGTAAAAAGGTATCAACTACTTACAAATCTGGTGTGGTTCTAACAAGTGTGGTGTTCCAAGGTATCAACTCCTTATAAATTTGGTGTGGTTCTAACAAGTACAGTGTAAAAAGGTATCAACTCCTTACAAATCTGGTGTGGATCTAACAAGTACGGCATACAAAGGTATCAACTCCTTACAAATTTGGTGTGGTTCTAACAAGTATGGTGTTCCAAGGTATCAACTCCTTACAAATTTGGTATGGTTCTAACAAGTACAGTGTAAAAAGGTATCAACTCCTTACAAATCTGGTGTGGTTCTAACAAGTACAGTGTAAAAATGTATCAACTCCTTACAAATCTGGTGTGGTTCTATCCGGTGTACAAAGATATCAACTCCTTACAAATTTGGTGTGGTTCTAACAAGTACGGTGTAAAAAGGTATCAACTACTTACAAATCTGGTGTGGTTCTAACAAGTATGGTGTTCCAAGGTACCAACTCCTTACAAATCTGGTGTGGTTCTAACAAGCACGGCATACAAAGGTATCAACTCCTTACAAATCTGGTGTGGTTCTAACAAGCACGACATACAAAGGTATCAACTCCTTACAAATTTGGTGTGGTTCTAACAAGTATGGCATACAAAGGTATCAACTCCTTACAAATTTGGTGTGGTTCGAACAAGTATGGTGTATAAAAGTATTAACTCCTTACAAATTTGGTGTGGTTCTAACAAGTACGGTGTACAAATTACTTGTTAGAACCACACCAAATTTGTAAGGAGTTAATACCTTTGTATGCCGTACTTGTTAGAACCACACCAAATTTGTAAGGAGTTGATACCTTTGTATGCCGTACTTGTTAGATCCACACCAGATTTGTAAGGAGTTGATACCTTTTTACACTGTACTTGTTAGAATCACACCAAATTTATAAGGAGTTGATACCTTTGTATGCCGTACTTGTTAGAACCACACCAAATTTGTAAGGAGTTGATACCTTTGTATGCCGTA